TGAGAATTCTACAACGTTTTAAACACAACAGTTCTATATAGAAATAAATAGAATACCCAAATGGACAATATCAAGCGCGAACGAGACATAAAGTCCCATTCAAGGTGCATACCATTCTAAAACTATACAAAACAATAAAATAGAACAAAATACAATACAAAAACAGCACAAACATGAAACACAGTTATTTACTAAGTTCTATGACATGGACAGTCACGCACAAATGACCATGTACAATGCAGTTCTATGTCGAACATTGTTCCGAGCAAGTGTTTATATGTGCTTCTAATGTTTCTTTTAAACGAGGAGAGGGTGGCGAAGGTGGTAGGAGGTAGAATTTTACAGGTATAGTTCCATATTTTAACTAGTCGGTTGAAATAAGATGCTTTGAATGTGTTGGATTTACAGAGGGGGACTTTAAGGGTGAGGGAGGGATTTTGACAGAGTCGTGTCCGATTGTTGTTAGAAAAGGAGACAAAGGTGTTGACGTCCAAATCTGTGTTGCCAAAGAGAGCCTTGAAGAAGAATATCAGATCAGAAATCTCTCTTTCATAGCAGAGGGGGAGTAGGTTGGGATTCATTAGCTGTTGTTGATATGTCATTTCGCCATGCTTGGATTGTAGTATCCACGCGGTGGCTCTTCTTTGGACGCTTTCGACTCTAGACTTGAGTTTGACAGTGTGTGGAGACCAGACTTCACTAGCGTAACATAGTTGAGATCTAACAAGCGATACAGCGTTCGTTGTACTGTTTTGTCTCTCAAAAGAGGGCAAGTTCGTTTAAGCATGCCGTGAATCTTGTTAGCCTTACCCGTGACTGTGTGGACGTGAACATCCCAATTGAAGTTGGCACTGACGCAAACACCAAGGTCTTTCTCTTTATCCACACGCAAGAGTTCCTTCTAATTAATGTGGTAGATATACACGAGGGGAGTCTTTTTTCGTGTGATTGTCAACACCTTACATTTCGACTGGTTGAAATCTAGGTTGTTTTCATGACTCCAACATTCAAAGCTGGCCAAGGCGTGTTGCACAATTTGACAGTCATTTTCCGATTTAATTGATTTGTACACTTTGGTGTCATCTGCATACAATGCTGCCGAGGTCTTGTCTGGTAGTACATTTGGAAGATCGTTTATAAAGATCGCAAACAGAACAGGTCCTACGATACTTCCTTGTGGCACACCAGATGTTACAGGTGCCCAGGAAGATGCAACTCCATCTACTGTACCACAAGTTTTTGAAAACGATGATAATTAATGGTCATTCAATTAAAGCTAGTCAACAATTTCTTTTTCATCCTGAGAACATCCAGTTTCAGTTCTCCTGAACTTGTTTGACACTCCTTGTCAGTGATATTTCAATCTGTCGATCTGCCATTATTTTATTCCAGATATGAACTCACAGGGCCTATAAATTAAGATTAAATACATTATTATTATTATTATTATTATTATTATTATTATTATACAATATTAGATACTCCCAATTGGGCTTTTCAGGATCTATTTACAAATATGAAATTCTATATCTATAAAAGTATCTAAAAATGAATTTTGAGTTTTGACCTAAGGTATAACATAGGCTATAGTTCTAAAATATTCTATAAATCTGTTAAACACCACTTTCAGTTAAAAATTCTTCTAACAACATACGTTTGTATTCTACTTTAAATTGAGTCCAAGTATCAATGTTCTTAAGAGACTGAGGCAGAGAATTCCACAAGGACACAGCCCTATAGTGAAATGTTCGTTGACCCGCAGCTGATCTGTACATTGGTATATCCAAAATGTTCTTTTGCCTTGTGATAACGCCATGAACATCTGACCTGACATGGAGCTTCTCACACAAATACAATGGTGCCAACCCCTTCAAGCATTTGAAAGCAAAAATGGCTTCTCTTAATTTTAACATGTATTTAACTGGAAGCCAGCCCAGTTGTTGCAGAACAGGAGTCACGTGATCGTATTTTCTTGTTCCTGTAACAATACGTGCAGCAAAGTTCTGGACCGCTTGAAGTTTCTCGATATTTCTTTGGGATGTATTAGACAGTAATACATAAGCAGTAATACATTTTGCTAAAAATCAGGGAATTTATAATAAGAATTAATGTTTTTCTGTCAAAGATATGTTTAACTCTGCTAATTTAGCCCAATACAGCGATACAAGATGAAACAACGCTTGCGATATGTTCGTCGTAGCTCAAACATGAGTCCAATATCATCCCTAAATCCTTGCAACAGCAACTGGGGTAATATTCTCACCAAGGATAGTTATTTGAAAATTTTCAGGTACCTGTTCTAACATTTGCCTAGTACCTAATATAAGCAACTTAGTTTTTTCTGGATTCGCCAATAAACTGTTAAGACAGTACCAGGCGGTAATTCTTCGCATGTCTTCTGTGAGTTTCATAGCTGCCAACTCGGCATCCCTGATTGAGAATGCTAAATATATTTTTGAGTCTTCCACGTACGACTCCAAATTGGACTCCTTTAGTACACCAGGCAAGTCGTTGATATATATATATATATATTAAATAACACCGGACCCAGTATCGATCCCTGCGGAACACCGCGAGTTATTTCGCATTCATGAGATAGCACTGACGCAATACGTACTGATTGGCACCTGCCTGTCAAATAGCTTTCAAACCAAAACAACGCAGGCTTCGAGATTCCAATATTCGAAAGTTTTCTTAGCAGAATGAAATGATCTAAGCTATCAAAAGCTTTAGACAAGTCCAGTAAGAGTAAAGCAGTCACTTCTCTACGATCCATGGACTGGAGAATTAAAT